CAAAGAGGGGAGATTTAGGTTGGATGTAAGGAAAAAGTCTGTTACAGAGAGGGTGGTGAGGCACTGAACCGGCTGCCCAGAGATGTGCTGGATGCTCCCACCCTGGAGACTTTGCAGGCGAGGCTGGATCAGTCCCTGGGCAACCTGGTGGAGCTGTGGTGTCCCTGTTAAATGCAGAGGAGTTGGACACAATGACCTTCAGGGGTCCTTTCCAACTCAAAGGATTCTATGATTCTGTGATTCTGAGATGTAGGAGGGAGCTAAAGAGAGCCCTGGATGATCTTATACTTTTCCTTTTGGTGGGTAATAAAATAGGAGATAAAAGCCAACCTTATAACCCTCATCCCAATGAACAAACAACTGAGCCTGATGTGTAGCCCAGTTCTGAGCACCATGGGGACCATTGGGTGGGGGGCTGGAGCAGCAGGCAGGGAGCTGTGTGCCTGGGCACTGCTGGCTTCACAGAATCATGAAATCATGGAATCACAGAATGGCCTGGGTTGCAAAGGAGCACAGTGCTCATCCAGTTCCAACCCCCTGCTGTGTGCAGGTCGCCAACCAGCAGCCCAGGCTGCCCAGAGCCACATCCAGCCTGGCCTTGAATGCCTGCAGGGATGGGGCATCCACAGCTTCCTTGGGCAAAACACAGAATCACCTCATTTCTGATTAACCTAGAATCAGGAGAACAGGCTTGCCTTCTTCCCAGTCCCCAGTTACTCCTGCAGCCCTCTCTGATGCCCTCCCAGTGCCAGGCCCCTTGCAAGTGTGTTCCAGCATTTGGTGTGGGTTTTCTCCCCCCAGCCCCATGTGCATGTCAAGGCAGAGCACACACATGGCTGCACCCCAGAGTGATGAGAACACTGCCTCAGCAGTCCCATGACACTCTCATGCCCCCCCAACACAGACAGGCAGACCACATGCATTCCAGGTGTTTATTGGGGGCTATGGCCATGGCTGTGATGCAGCTCAGTGATACTTGCGAGCCAGAGCATGAGCCACAACGTTGACCAGCTTCTGCCAGGCAAATTGGCAGGCAGGAGTGAAATCCCTGGCAAAGTGGGAAGCCAGGACGATGATCAGGATGTCCCCAAGGAGCTGCAGGAGAAAGTGGAGAGCAGGAAAAGTTAGTGCTGCTTGGATGGCCAGGGAGCATCTCCTCTTCCTACCCAGCACAGCCTCAGTGCTTGCTGCTGGGGCTGCTGGGCCCAAATGCTCACTCTTTGCCTAGAAAGCTCTGAGTCTGGGGGAAAAAAAAGTTGTCTGCTCCATCCTTGCCAAAATAAAGGGAGAGTGGGTGGAGAAAAAGCCTTGAGACTATTTTCCTCCATTCTTGGGATGCTGGTTTGGCCTGACATCCACCTTGCAAAACACTGCTTGTAATTTATTTCTTTGTTTGTTTGTTTGTTGTAAATGAGGAAATCTACACATTTTTATTTGCAGGTGTTAGGGGAAGAGGGACTGCCCATTCTAACCCAGGTTGCCCAGTGAATCTGTGGGAACCCCATCCCTGGAGGTGCCCAAAGCCATGGATGGGGCCCTCGGCAGCCTGAGAAGATAGAGGGCACCCAGCCCATGGCAGGGGGTGAGATTGGGGGGCTTATAAGTCCATTCCAACCCAACCATTCTATGGTTCTATGAGTTTTGAGGTCCCTTCCAACCTGAGCCATTCTATGGTTCTATGATTCTATGATCCAGACAGGCAGCCCATACTTGATAAGCCAGAAACCTGCTCTATCATTTCAGAACTTCTAATCTTCCCATAGAGAATTCTATAGGATGTATGACTTCCTTCAGTGCTCTGCTGAACATCCCTCCACCTCTGCTTCCTCCAGCCCAGGCTGCACCTTTCTCTGGTTTGCTTTCATTTGTCCTCAACCCAAGTGCCTCCTTTAGTTTACAGTCTCACAATACTTTCTCCTTCCCATTGCTACACTGACACAAAAAAATGGAACTTTTCAGCCTGAAAGCCACCTGCTGTCCTGCAAAGAGTTCTGCACTCATTGGGTCTATGCAGGGATGCTGACTCCACCAGACAGAAAGCATTTCGCCAGCATGGCTGGGGCAGCCCCCCATGTTTCAAAGCAAAGCACTGCACAGGGAATGGGCTCAGGCTGCCAACATCTCCCCATGCCAACATCTCACCCTGAAGTTCTCGGGGTCCACGTGCAACTTGTCACAGTGCAGCTCCGACAGCTTGGCGTAGGTGTTCTTGATGTTGTCCAGGTTCTTCACGGCTTCCCCAAAGGAGCTCAGCACTTTCTTACCATGAGCACGGACCCTGGGGTTACCAATGATGGCGGTGGGGCTGGAAAGGTTCCCAAAAGAGGCAAAAAACCTCTGGGTCCAGGGGTAGACAATCAGCAGCCTGCAGAGGGACACAAGCACACACCATTAACACCCCCTCCCAAAACTGCAGTGGTTTCAGTATCCAGGGTGCAGCTGAGCCCATCCTGGGAGCAGACCTACCTGGCCAGGGCTTCGGCACCGCATTCCTCCACGTTGACTTTGCCCCAGATGCTGGTGATGAGCTGCTTCTCCTCGGCGGACCAGTGCACCATGGTGGCAGCGGGGTTGGCGTGCGGCTGTGGGAGCACTCAGAGCTTGGAGCTGAGCTGCAGACCCCGGGGGTTTTTATCCACTGCTGACAGCTCCTCCCCATCCCTCGCTGTGGGGTCATTGGCTGGGATGGGTGGGGGCTTGTGCTGGGGGCGCAGGAGGGGTGGTCAGGGTGTGGCAGTAATTAAGGGGCCTCTGGTCATCCCCGCTCTGACCCTTCCCCCAGCGCTGCCCTACCAGACCTGGGCCTCTTTTCAAAGAAAGGGCTGCACATGGACTCATTGAATCATAGAATTGCTCAGGTTGGAAAAGACCTTAAAGATCATCAAATCCAACCGCAACCCAGCCATCCCACCCTGACTCTAACAACCCTCCGCTAAATCACGTCCCTGAGCACCACATCCAAACGCTTTTTAGGCACATCCAGGATGGTGACTCAGCCATCCCCTGGGCAGCCCATTCCTGTGCTTAACAACCTTTCTGTAAAGAAGTTTTTCCTGTTACCCAACCAAGAGCCAGCCTCCATTTGCAACACACGCATGGGACTCATGGATTGTGCCGTGCTCCATGGCTCTCCCAGAGCTGCCCCATGACATATGCCAACACGCAGCCCGTGGCCATGCAGCTCAGGGGTGTTCCAGCAGCAGAGACACCACGGGCACCACAAACACTGAAATGGACTTTAACCCCATTGCCACTTACTATGACAAACCATGACCTGGGCCATTTACTTTCCATTTTGGGGCGAGCGGAAGCTCACCCATCAGTTGTAAGGTGACAGGCCACATGCCAAGCTGGTGCACAGGGACTGAACAGAATCACCCCTTTCACCCTAGCTCTGCTTGTGTTCACATCCATAAAGAACAGGGGAAACATGCTTTGAACTCCAGATTGTCTCTGCTGTACCTGATATGGGCTCAGAAAGCAGCAAAAGCTCAGCTCAGGGGTGTCCAACAGGGACCCAGGGGTTTCCTTCTGCATCGTTCCCCCGAGGAGGGGAGATTGAAGTTGGACACTGCAAAACATTTCTTGTCCCAGAGAGTGTTGTTGATGCAGTGGCACAGCTGCCTATGGTGGTGGTGGAGTCAGCATCCCTGGAGGTGTTCCAGAGCCATAGGGATGTGGCACTGAGGGACGTGGTCAGTGGGCATGGCGGGGTGGGTTGGGGTTGGGCTTAGAGATCTTGGAGGGCTTTTCCGGTCTGAATGATTCTGTGATTCTATGACAAAGCTGGCACGAACCACATCTCCCCCGAGTTCAGGAGCTGCTCAGACACCATGCAAAGTGCTCTCCTGTGCCACCCCCGGGAACACAGCACTGGGGTACCTTCCACAGGAGCATTGTCCCTGCGTGAGAGTCCTGAAGGCTTATTCTAAACGAATGGAGCTACCACTGCATGACGTACCAGAAGAATGAATTATTAGTATCTTTAACCAGTGACATCCAAGAGGCACAAGGTCATGTTGAAGCAGCAGCAGGAGGGGAGGGTGCTCATATGGCTGCAGCAGAGCTGGAAAGGGGCTGAGCTCCTTCCCGGAGTCCTGGGCTTGCCTTCCTCCATAGAATCACTGAATCATTGAATCATTTAAGGTTGGGAAAGATCATTAAGATAAAATCCAACTCCACTGAGCACCACTTATTCAGTGTCCTCCTGGCCTTGTACCAAAAATAAAGGAACGGGAGGAAAATCAATTAAAAGAAAGAAAATACTGAGGGAGACCTTCAACCTTTAAATAGCCTTTTCCCTTCTGGTTGTATACATCATTTTACACCATGGAGTAGATCTGAATCATGGATTAGAGTTGCCTACATCTGCCTTTTGCTGGTGATACCCGAGCATGACTCTCACTGTGCCTGCCCAGACACCTGCAAGGAAGACAGACTTTTTGTCTTAACACAAAGTGCCCTCCTATGTCCTTGTGACAGCAACAACACCCTCCTTACACTGAGCAGAGTGCTTGAGGAGAGGTCAAGGGGCCATGGGGGCTTTGATACCCAGCAGTGAGTCAGGGGAGGAGAGGGAGATGCCCATGAGGGATGGAGCAGAGACACGACATGGTACCAATTTGATGGAGGTGCTGGTTTATGTAGCTGTGGTCAGGATGTGGTACAGACTTGGTGCCAGGGGTTCTTGGTGTATCCCCTCTCTTTCCCCTTAGAAAGCAGCACGTCATTCCAGCAGCAGCAGCTGCTTTTGCTGCCCCGTGCTCATCTCAACAGGATGAGTGGTTCTCCCATGCCAAGAACAACCCCCACCCTATGGAGCCCTGCGCTGTGCACATTTAAACACCTCTATAGTTTGCATGCAAATGACATCAGTTGATTTGTAGTTCCAGAACATCATTAATAGTTAGTACTATTGACAGGATTAACCCCCTCCCTTCCCCCACCCAGAACTGCAGAATGGGCATCTCAGGGTGAAGAAGTGCATAAACAAGGTCTGTGCAAGTCTTGATAGCAAAATGTTTATCTGCAACCTGCCCCCACCCAGCTGGCTGCTGGGCTAGCATGAGTCAGCTCCTTTCAGGGAGGCTGGATGCCAGAAATGAGCCAGGAAGGATTAAAGCCTTCACTTTGTTTATTCTCTCTTAAATATATGCTTCCTCTGTGTCAGTATGAAAACTCATTTCTACAGACATAGCCCCAGTGCAAACCTCCCAGTGCTGTGCCTGCCCAGACATGGGCTTGCAGGTTTGCTTTCCACAGGCAAATCCCACAGAACCCCATAAAACCCCACTGAGCACAAAGCACTCCATAGAGCCAACCCTGCCCCACTGAGCTCCCGCTGTGCCCACGTCCCCCACCCCAGCCCCAGGCTGCACAGGGACACACAGACAGCAGATGAGTGTCACTGAATGAACTTTATTTGTCTGTCACAAGCTGTCAGCCTCGGAGCATTTCTGCAGGTGCATGCAATAGCTGTAGGGTGCTCCGGGATCTTTGCTGCTGGTGCTTAGTGGTACTTGCGAGCCAGGGCATGAGCCACCACACGGACCAGCTTCTGCCAGGCAGCCTGGCATTCAGGAGTGAAGTCCTTGCTGAAGTGGGCGGCCAGGACGATGATGAGGATGTCACCCAGGAGCTGTGGGGATAGGAGACCCTCTGTTAGCAATGCCCTGCAGCCAGCCCCTCCCTGTGCCTGCACCAGCACCAGGAAAACCTACCTAGGCTTAAAGATGATCCTATAAACTACAGCTCTTGTTCAGACATACCTTAAACTCATTAATCCTTTTGTTCAGTCAAAATGCACAATGTGCAAAACACACCCGCTCATCTTGGCTGAGCCGCTGGGCCCAAAGCTTTCCATCTCACCACTCAGGCCATATTTCCTCCTTCTGCTACTACTGTGAGAAGAGCCACAGGCTCTCCAGAAATCCTCCATTTGGCTGCAGGTGGGAGTGGGCAGCACAGCCACACTCCTGCTGGCATGTGGGATCTCCGCCACCCCTCCCCATCTCACTCCTTGACTCTCAGCATCCAGCCCATCTCCATGCCATGTTGCACTCTTGCTCCTTCACTTTCCCCTTGGCTCAGACCTCTCTCCACTCCAACAGTGGCTTTTGCTTTGCTCTCCCTTCCATTTCTGCACTGCAGCCATCTCCTCACTGCCTTCCCTTCTCCTCTGTACCCTCACTGTCACCCACCCCTCAGTCCCTCCATCCCCTTCGTTCCTTTCTCACTGTGCTGCAGGTTGGTCCCTTCCCTCTCTGTTTCTCCCACCTCCGACCCCAGCCTCAAATTCCACCTACGGGCAATCTATGGGAGCACCCACACGTGGGTCCTGGGGGACATAGGGAGAATCTCCTCTTGGAGATGCATTGGGGTGGGACCCAGTCAAGAGTGCGGCTCACCCTGAAGTTCTCGGGGTCCACGTGCAGCTTGTCACAGTGCAGCTCGGACAGTTGGGAGAAGGTGTTCTTGATGTTGTCCAGGTTCTTCACAGCATCCCCGAAGGAGGTGAGCACTTTCTTGCCATGGGCACGGACCATGGGGTTGCCAAGGATGGCGGTGGGGCTGGAGAGGTTCCCAAAGGACGCAAAGAACCTCTGGGTCCAGGGGTAGACAATCAGCAGCCTGTAGGGAACAGAAGCACACACCTCCAATTGCAGCCATTTCCCTACCCGAGGAGCAGCTGAGATGATGCCCAAAGCTGGACCTACCTGGCCAGGGCTTCGGCTCCGCAGTCGGCCACATTGACCTTGCCCCAAAGGCCGGTGATGAGCTGCTTCTCCTCAGCAGACCAGTGCACCATGGCGGCGGTTGGAGGGTAGCGTGTGGCTGTAGGTACAGAGGAGGTCTGGGCTCTTGCTCCCGCGGGGATCGCACGCTGGTGAGCGGCCGTCTGCGTCCCCACTTTTATCCGCTCCGCCGGGCCCCTCCTCTTCCCCCTGCACCCCGCAATTGGCTGCATCTCAGGAGGGGCCCCCAGCCTTGGCACCCCGGGGGAGGGAACGCGGCATCAGGGTGGGGCACAGGGCAAGGTGCCCAGATCCTTGGCCACGGCACCGCCCAGCCCCCCCCGATTCCCAGCTCTGCAGCTCTATGCCGGACCGCGCCATACATCCCCATGCACGGCGTGGGCATGGCACCGTGTGCCCACCCCAGTGCTGTGAGCACAGCGCTGGCTGCCAGTTCCAAACCACAGCACTCTGCCTTGCTGTGAGGCAGGAGACCACAACTTGGGTCTGTTGGGTCCTTCCTCCCAGCACACCAGCCGGTGCATGTGGTTTTCTCTCTCTTCCTCTTCCCGAAGGGCCTGCCAGGCTTGGGTTCTCCTTGTTCTTTCCCATCATCTATTGAGCAGCTTGCTGACTTTAGGGTAGCACTAAGTGAGCTGCAGGCAGCAGGGTGCAGAGCTCCTGCCTCAAAGAGTCTGCAGGCAGAGGGAAACAAGGTAGGCTCAGAACACAGCACAGAGATCACCTGCACGGCATCAGTGCATGGGTGACCTTGGAAAGGTGAGACACACCAGGTACAACAGCGACAGCCTCTGGCAGCAGGAAGGCAGCACCTGACCTGACTCAGTGACACAGCAGTGTGTTGGGAGAGGTGCCTGGGGCTGCCAGGCTGCTGCCAGCAAGCAGGGGCTGGAGCTGGGATGGACATAATGGGGCCAGGACCTGGCTGCACGTGGAGCACCAGCTGGCCCAGGGGATGGTTGGCCATGGAGCAAGGCACTGCCGTTGGCCATAGGCTGTGGCTAATGCTTGTGCTGAAAGCTGCACCAGTTCTCTGCACACTTGCTTTGGAAAGGGCTTGGTAGAAGGGCCATGCTGCAAAGAGCTGAGCTGGGTGCATGCCTGCACTGTAGCTGTGACTTCTGCCTTCTCCCTGATAACAGGGCAGGAGGGTGTGGGCAGGAATTCATTGTGCCAGGATCCAGAGGTGTCCCCAAGCTGCTCTGCAACCTGTGGGGATGCTGCAAGCCACCTCTGGGCTAAAATGGGGTTGGGAGCCTGGAGAGCACCACGGCCCTCTGCACAGTGAGGGGACTTCAGGGGACTTTTGCTGCTGAAAAGCTAGATGTAGGGGCAGTGAAACCAAGTGCTCTGTCCTTTCTGTATGTGCAATGATCATTCTTGGAATATTTTTTTTTTTGCCATAATAGATTCCTGTTACTATTAAATTCTGCCTTTAATAATTCGTGAATTATAACAATTTAGACAAGGATTGAAAACCAGTACCATAGAATCATAGAATGTCCTGAGCTGGGAGGGACAAAAAAGGATCATAGAGTCCTTTGCATGCTTCCTTCCATCAAAGATGTTACAAACAACACACCACATCTCAATGCAACTGCACATTTTTGTGCAAAGATTTGTTCCCCTTGAACTGTGGAAGTGTACAACATTAAATGCAGTGATGTTGCTGATGCCTCAGTGCAGAACCAATGTTCCTATTTGTATTTTGGGGTATGTTTATTTGTTCAGGTCTTGAATGCTCCCTGTGTTTATCCAGCTTAGACAAATCTCACCTGCAGGAATTCACGGAAACAAAACATGTCCTGCTGTACTGTGTATGTGAGCACCTCGTTCCATTCCCAGCCCCTGGGGCAGCCCCCACCCTGACCCTACAGAGAGGCAGAGACTCTATCCTGACTGCAGCAGTGTTTATTTGGCAGTTACAGCCCAGCAGACCCCGAGGACACCGGGAGCATCTCCAAGTGGCTGTGGGGCTCAGTGGTACTCATGGGCCAGTGCGTGGGCCACCACACGCACCATCTTCTGCCAGGCAGCCTGGCTGGCAGGAGTGAAGTCCTTGCCGATGTGGGAGGCCAGGACAACGATCAGGATGTCCCCCAGGAGCTGGCAAAGGAGGAAGAAGAGAAGCCATCAGCCAGTGCTGTCCCCACCTCCTTCATACCATGTAGCCATCCTAGGGCAGTGATGGAGATCCATCAAAATGCAAGGAGCCCACTTCCTGCAGCCCATGCACTGTTCCTGCATCTCTGGCACTCCCTGGGATGCTGTAGTCCCCTCCCCAAACACCTTCTCTACACCAGCTGTGCCAGTGACCCCTCTCAGCTCTGGATGTGTTTTTTCTCTCCCTTCGTTTCCCCACTACCCTGTCTCTCTTTGGCTCAGATCCCCTCATTCTGTTGAAATGGCTGTGTCTATTTTCTGTTCTGGATTAACCATTCCCTCACGTCCAAGCTCATCTCCTCCCCTCCAATCCTTTGTTTCTTCTCTTCTGCTCTCTTGCTGCTCCAGACTGATATTGTTTCTCTCCATTCACTCTGCAGACTGCACATAAATCACTCCAATTTTGTGCCCATCCACTCCACCTGCTTGCATCCCTTCTCTCGCACAACTCAGTCCTGTAAGTCCTGCCTGTTCTCCCCAGAGGCTCACCCTGAAGTTCTCAGGGTCCACATGCAGCTTCTCGCAGTGCAGTTTGCTCAGCTCGGCAAAGCTCTTCTTGATGTTGTCTGGGTTCTTCACAGCCTCCTCAAAGGATGTGAGCCCCTTCTTGCCATGGGCACGGACCATGGGGTTGCCAAGGATGGCGGTGGGGCTGGAGAGGTTCCCAAAGGACGCAAAGAACCTCTGGGTCCAGGGGTAGACAATCAGCAGCCTGTAGAGAGATGGGGCGCACAAGCACACACCTCCAATTGCAGCCATTTCCCTACCCGGAGAGCAGCTGAGCCGATGCCCAAAGCTGGACCTACCTGGCCAGGGCTTCGGCCCCGCAGTCGGCCACATTGACCTTGCCCCAGATGCTGGTGATGAGCTGCTTCTCCTCAGCAGACCACTGCACCATGGTGGCAGCTGTAGGGCTTGCTTTGGGCTTCCCTGAAGAATGAGTAGGAAGTGGGGCCAAAGTCTACCCATGGATTTTTATACACTACTAACAGCTTGCCCTAATCTCAGTTGACATTTCCATTGGTGCGTCTGGGGAAGGAGTTGAGCTGCAGAAGGAAAGATAGCAAATTTGGATGCTGTCCAAGGGGAAAAGGGGCCCATTCCCCCTCTGCCTTCATTTGGACCAGCTTCATTTCACACTCAGGCTCTCGCAGACACAGCCCTGAGTGCAGGTGGAGCTGCCTGCATGGCCCCTCCATGGCCATAGGTTTCCAGTGTCACTGCCAGTGGTTGGGGACTGAACTTGTGGAGGAGATCCAGTAAGATGGGCAGTGATGTCAAAGAGCTCACAGCCTTTACCTTGGCCTTGTTTTCAGACTCTTGATGGTGCTTTGGTGCCTGCGCTCCTGGGAATCCATCATGAACAGCCCCAGGCATCATCAGCCCCAAACTGAAGGATCAGAGGCTTTGTGGGAAACAAGAGCCCAATGCTTGTCCCAGATGAAGGCCTCATGCTTTGAATTCAAGATTCTCCTTTCTTGTCAGTACTCATAAAGAGTTTCACAGCTGTTGTCCCTTCCTATTGCCCATAGTTGTTGCCCACAGTAGTTCTCCATACTTGTTCTTTGTGTTGAGTGGCTCTTCATAGTCACCCATAGTCGTTCTCCACATGATTATTGTCCATAATTGTTGTCCATTGATTCAGAGTGTTTCCTACTAGCAGGAGAGGCTATCAAAAAATCAGGAAAAGCACTCTTTCCACTGTCATTTTATAATGATGCACCATGGGATGCACTGTTACACTTAGTTATGCAAGTAGCCTGTGACAGCGAGGAGCTGAGCCCTGCCTGTTGACTTCAGCTGCAGTTGGTCACCTGGCCACAAACTCCACTGTTTTACCAATGGCAGCTCTGGTTATGCTACATGTGTGCAATTTGTTCCTGCAAATGCTTTCTCATTTGGTATAGAGATGAAATGAGGAGGTTGTAATGACAACAAATTGCTCTGCAGATGCAAGCTGCAGATTCATTGTGAACAGGGTGGGATGGTGAACTGGTGGCTGCTGTCCTGCAGCTCAGGAGCTCCATCCCACAAGGGCAGATCCAGGCTTCCAACCCAGGTGTAAGGTGAGATGCTAAACCAAGAGATGGAGAAGCAGCTCCTGGGGCTTGCTGACCTTCACCTGATTTCTCTTTTGCTCCTGAGTAGAACCTGAGGCTGCATGCCCCCCCTTGCAGCAGCTGGGCCATGGTCCACAATGAGCTCACAGTGAGGTGGATTCAGACTGGAAGGTATCTGCAAGACTGGCAAGAAGCATTCAGCTCTTTCTGCCAAACAGTGAGATGAACGAGGGATGCTCAGCAAAAAGCAAAGAACAGCTCAGAGCCCCAGCCCTGCACTCTGCTCTGGAGGTCTTCTTCAGGGATGACTCCATCTCATGCATCTCTCTAAGTCAGAGCTCATTTGCACCCACAAGGGACAGATTCACTTCACCCACAACCCTTCCCCAGCATCCTTCCATCCTGCTGTCTCCTTTGGTCGGATTGGAGGAGCCCCATGTGTGCTTCTCTGCCTCTTGGTGCACACTGGGCACTGCTAGTTTCACGGATGGGAACTTTCCTATTTTATAGAATCATAGAATCATTAGAGTTGGAAGGAACCTTTGAGGGCAGTTGAGTCCAACTCCTCTGCATTTAACAGGGACACCACAGCTCCACCAGGTTGCCCAGGGCCTGATCCAGCCTCGCCTGCAAAGTCTCCAGGGTGGGAGCATCCAGCACATCTCTGGGCAGCCTGTTCAGTGCCTCACCACCCTCTCTGTAACAGACTTTTTCCTTACATCCAACCTAAATCTCCCCTCTTTGAGCGTGAAGCCATTTCTCCTTGTTCTGCCAGCACAGACCCTGCTCAAGAGCCTGTTCCCTTCTTTCCTGTCGCTCCCCTTCAGATACTGACAGGCTGCTCTCAGCTCACCTCGCAGCCTCCCCTTCTCTTCTCCATCTGCACAGCCCCAGCTCTCAGCCTGTCCTCATAGGAGACCTGTTCCATCCCTGGGATCATTTTTGTGGCCCTCCTCTGGATGCCCTCCAACAGCTCCATGTCTCTCCTGCACTGAGGACTCCACGTCTGGGCGCAGTGCTCCAGGTGAGGCCTCACAGCACAGCGCAGAGGGGAGGATCACCTCCTGACCTGCTGGTTCTTGTTTTGTTGCAGCCCAGGATGCAGTTGGCTTTCTGGGCTGTGAGGGCACAGTGCTGGCTCATGCCCAGCTTCCATCCACGGGTACCCATGGGTCTTTTCCATCAGGGCTGCACTCAATCCTTTCATCCCCCAGCTTGTATTGCTAATGGGGGTTGCCTTACCCCAGGTGCAGACCTTGCACTTGGCTTTGTTGAACCTCATGAGGTTCACCTGGCCCCAGTGCTCAGCCTGTGTCCCTCTGGATGGCATTCTGTCCCTTTGCTGTGTCACTGCACCCCACAGCTCGGGGTCATCAGCAAACTGCTGAGGGTGCACCCGACCCCACTGCCGACATCACTGATGAAGATATTAAAGATATCATGGATAAATCATCCTGCTGGCAGCAAAAGGCAGCTCCGGGCCTTCACAAAAGAAGCAGTGTTTGTTGGTCACTCTGATTGCAGCAAGCAGCACCCTGCGCCAAGCTTTACTTATCAGCAGGAGCAGCAGATGTAGCCTCTGGACCACAGCCAGTCACTCTTCTCTCTCCTCCAGAACGCGCAATGGCTTAAGTTGACAGCTGAAAGTCCTGTAAGTATCTTTGCTCCCAGTTTGTTTCTGTGTTGGCCAAAATGAGGAGCATATAAGCAGGAGGAGGAATGGCTGTTTACAAGGGTGGATAGTGATAAGACAAGGGGGAATGGTTTTGATCCTGTGAGTCTATGATTCTGTGAAATAATGCTGAGATGCCATTTGCTGGTGGACAGGAGAGTGTTGTATTGTAGGAAAGCTGTTCTGGTTTCTGTTGGCTTTTTGCTTTTCCCCCCCATCCCTGCATCCCCTGCCTATCGCACAGGCTGGATGTGCAGCTCACAGGGGTCACAAGTGCAAATCCCTGCTTTATCTGCAGGAAGGCAGGAAACGTATTCCTAAATCACGCGAAACAGGGATTTCTTCATTCTGAGACAGACGTATCTTTCCCTATTGTCTTTTAACTTACTTCTGAATAAGACTGATGTTCTCAGATAGAACCCTTCCATTACAGTGAAAACCCATTCTTCATTAAGCCAATCTGAGTTAAAATTGTCTGATCCTATGTAAAAGCTGCCCTCGGCCCCTCCTCTGCAGACATCTACATCTTCTTGCAGGGAGCATCTTCTGCTCAGAATGCCCAAGGCTCCTGGAAAGAGCTTTTTCATCTGATACAGAAAACACTTTTTATCACCTTCTTGAGGATACAATTTTCAGCCTAAGCTGCCTTGAGGAAATCTCTCCAAATCTATACCCTTGCACACACTACAGGCTGAGAAGCGTCCGGCCCTGCAGCTCTGCCTTCTGTGCAGAAGAGGTCAGGAATATTCCCTGGTGATTTCTGCAGACTGAAGGCACTGCTTGGTGGGGGGAACATGCCAAGTGCTGGATGAGAGGCCTCTGTCCCCACATGTCCCGTGATGTCCCCAGATGTCCCCCCTTTGGCAAACCTGACTGTCTTTTTGGACCATGATACTCCCCAGAGCCCTGAGCCCTCTTTCCCCTCTGGTGCCCTTTGCTCCCACCCTCCCCACAACAGGAGCACACCAAGCAGTTCAGGCAATGTGCTTTTTTATTGACTTTCACAGCTGTGTCCTGCTCTGGGAGCTCAGTGGTACTTGTAGGCCAGGGCATGGGCCACCACGCTGACCAGCTTCTGCCAGACAGCCTGGCAGGTCGGGGTGAAGTCCTTGGTGAAGTGAGCAGCCAGCACAATGATGAGGATGTTCCCCAGGAGCTGCAGAGAGAAGGGAAGCAATGGGGTCAGCACGGTGTGGAGCATCCCCTGCCCTGCACAGGACCCAGGGGCTGCAGCTCTGAGGGGTTCAGAGATGCTCTTTCTGCAGGCAAATTTCCTGTGCTCACCACAGGCACCAAGATCCACCTGCTCCATCCTTGCATTGTCTCCCACCTGCTCTCTCCAGCCTCTCTACACTGTGTTCCCAAAATGTTTCTGAGTTTGTTTGTTTTTTCCTGCTGTGAATCCCCATGCCTACTGCAGCTGGGGCTCAAGTCAGTGCCATGTCTGCCTGCTGCATCCCCAAAGCAGGGGCAGGAATGGAAGCCAAGGGCCTCATCCAGCCCCCACAGCCACAGCCCCCCAGCACCCTGCTCTCCTTTGCTCCTCTCCTACTCCCCTCCTTCATCTGCTGGCCTTGTTCCACATCCAGACCTCTCTGACTCTGGTCCCAGTCTGCTGATCTCTCCCCATCAGCACCCAGCCCCTGATGATCCCCACATCTTCATTCCACATTGGCTTTTCCCTCTCCTCCCATATATGTCATTCCTGAGGGCACGGAGAAACTGCCCAAGGAGAAACTGCACATGGCCCTCGTCCCCTTGACCCTCAGCCCTACTCAGCCTCTCACTTTCCTTCTGCTTTTCTCCAACCTCCAGGCACTCAAAGCATCTCCCTGGGGGCATCTGTCCCAGATCTGTCACAGCCTGGAGCCCCTTCCTTCAAATTACCAGTTGCACAGCCTTCCCTCTCCCTCTTAAGCACTTTCCATCCCGGCCAGCCCCTTTCTCTTCGATACCTAAAATATCTGCTACTTAAGCTCCCCCAGAACCTTCCAGGCAGTGAGCTGTTCCACAGGATGGAGGGACAGACGGACAACCTCAGCACATCTCACCCTGAAGTTCTCGGGGTCCACGTGCAGCTTCTCGCAGTGCAGCTCCGACAGCTTGGCGTAGGTGCTCTTGATGTTGTCCAGGTTCTTCACGGCTTCCCCAAAGGAGCTCAGCACTTTTTTGCCATGAGCACGGACCTTGGGGTTACCAATGATGGCGGTGGGGCTGGAGAGGTTCCCGAAGTTATCAAAGAACCTCTGGGTCCAGGGGTAGACAATCAGCAGCCTGCAGAGGGACACAAGCACACACCATTAACACCCCCTCCTAAAACTGCAGTGGTTTCAGTATCCAGCGTGCAGCTGAGCCCATCCCGAGAGCAGACCTACCTGGCCAGGGCTTCGGCACCGCATTCCTCCACGTTGACTTTGCCCCAGATGCTGGTGATGAGCTGCTTCTCCTCGGCGGACCAGTGCACCATGGTGGCAGCGGGGTTGGCGTGCGGCTGTGGGAGCACTCAGAGCTTGGAGCTGAGCTGCAGACCCCGGGGGTTTTTATCCACTGCTGACAGCTCCTCCCCATCCCACGCCGTGGGGTCATTGGCTGGGATGGGTGGGGGTCCACGCCAGGGGGGGTTTGTCCATGGGGTGGTCAGTGTGCACGAGGTGTGGTCTTCCATGAAAAGACAGTGACCAGCTTAACAGGCGGCTCCGGACACAGCAGCCCTTATCTCTCCGTCCTCACTGCAGCCCTGCATGCAGCACCCCCACAGAAGGCACCAAGCCCCCTTTGCATGGTGCACTCAAATGGCTTCACACCTGCAGTGCCCAAATGTTGTCTCCTCTGCAGCATTCACAGGCTCCCTAAACCTGGGGGGTATTTCTCAGACAGGCGGCAATGAGCCTGGGCACTTTCCTCGCCCTTCTGCCCAGAGCAGCTGCCTGGGAATGCTAAGGGCTCTTGTTTCTGGCTGCAGCTATGCAACTCTGGAGTGTAGAATCGTAGCACTATAGAGTTATTTGAGTTGGAAGGAATCTTTAAAAGCCCTTAGGGCTCTCCCACAGTGAACAGGGACAGCCACCGCTCCATCAGGTGCTCAGAGCCCTGTCCAGCCTGACCTTGGCTGTCTCCAGGGATGGGACATCAACCACTTCTCTGGGCAACCTGTGCCACAGCTTCATCACCCTCATTATTTTCCTTATGTCCAGTCTAAATTGTGCTCTCTCTTCTGGGAAGTAAAAGACCTTGCTTAAGGACAGCAGGGTCAGCCACTCTACAACCAGACCAGTCATGTCCTGGTTCAGAGCCTGACCAAAGTCTTCTGCTTGGCTCTGGGTCTCACTCTCCGTTTGAAATGGGTTTTTGCTATTCCTGGGCTGAAGAGCACAGGCAAAATGGTGCCCCTGTGCACAGGCACACTAAGCCAGGGTGGGAGGCATGCAGAACCCCAGCAGGACTGTGGGGTTTGGCTCTTTCCAGAGGCAGTCTAGAAGGCTTCATCCACTGGGGATGTGGGCAGTGGGCATGGTGGTGATGGGCTGATGGTTGGATTTGATCTTAGAGGGCTGTTCCAGCCTTGATGATTCTATTGCAGGGTTGTTGAACTAGTTGACGTTTAAGGGCTCCTTCCAACTCAAATGATTCTATCACTGTATTAACGGGCATGATTGTGAGGGATTGACGTTTGGACTTGATGATCTTGGGAGGTCTTTTCCAGCCTTTAGGATTCTATGGTTCTATGATTCCATGATCCAGACCTTTGACCTGTGCCACTTACAGACCAGTACTGGTTCACGGACCGCCACGGAGCAGCACTGAGCGGTGGCACAAACACAGCACTCTGAGCACCTGATCCAGCTGTGGCTGTCCTCATTCAGCGCAGGGGAATTGGACCAGAAGGTTTTTAAATGTCCCTTCCAACTGAAACCACCCTATGATTCACTGGACATCTGAATGTGATCCAGTTGGGATCACTGATGGATGTAATCACACTACAGATTCTTGCTGCAGCCCCCTAGGAGAAATTCTTACATTGTATTATCTATTTATTTAATTATGTACTTATTTATTTGAAATTTCTCAGTCCCATGCACAGCCCGTGGGCCCCTTCCAGCAGCGAGGCAGTCACCATGGTGCTCTGATAATGCCTGCAGGGCGCGGGCTGCTCAGCACAGATAAGTGTATCACACAGGTGGCCAGAGCCTGCTGCACTTCTCACCTAAAGAGCAGACACAGAGCCACACACCCACGGTTCCTGAAGAGATCTGAAGGCTTCAGCAGCTCTTCAGTTTTTACTAAGACTCATAGAACGAAATCGAATACGTGCAACCCTAAATGGCACAGAGATATTCCCATCATGTGTCAGCCAGCACAGCACTGAACAGAGCTGGCCAGGACAGCTGCATGCACAGCTGGGGGGCAGTGAACAGCCTGGAGTGCCCCTCTCACATGCTGCTTGGCTATTACTTCTCTTCCTGCGGTCTGCTTTGCCTGGCAGACCCACACAAAGGATAAAATCCAAGCTACATCTGGGTTTATTATTAGCAACACATTTGCCTCATCTGTGATGGGAGTCTCATTTTCAGCTCGGTGAAGCTGAACTTTCAATAAAAAAGATAATGATGTTTTTCTTCTGCATGTGAGCCTGCAGTATGACAGAGTTTGGGGAGGGTGGCTGGGACAAGCAGTGAGCGTCAGACACAGTGCTCAGAGGAGAGCACTGCAGTATTGCTATTAATGAGGATCTGTGGTCAATAAATGCCAACTTTCTGTACTCCATGGAAAAGCAGGCAGAGATGGAAGAAACCTCAGGCCCCTGTCCCACACCATGGCCTGCTCTCATCTGCTCTCACGGGTGCACTGTGGAGCAGGGTCACATCTCTGTGAGATGGATAATGGTGGTCCTGAGAGCCATGGGAGGGAGGAAGCAGAGGACAGAGGTGCTCTTCATTGTACCATGACAAGCTTACATGGTGCAGAGCTGACCAACCCTTGCCATGCTGCTGATGCAGAGCTGCTCCAGAGGCAACAGCAGCCTTCAGACTACTGCCCATATGAACCCCAAAGTGAGAACCAGAGCAAAGTCTTACAGAACAGCCACAGACCCAAAGGCACAGGCAGAGCTTCTGCTCTGGGCCTCTTAGGACAAACTTCACGACGAATTTAGGAAAATGAGAGCAGCAATCAGCTGGCCTGAATCACCATAACTGATACACCTTGCCATGCCTGGACACAAGCACCAAGGATTTCTGAGGATGCCATTTCCTTAGGAGGGAACAGGAGGCAGAAAAGACCCCAGAAGATGACAGGCATGGCACAGTGCAGTCAGAGCAGATGGTTTTGCAGCAGGCAGAAAGTTCCATGTTACTGCTGTAAGGAGAGCCACCTAACTGAGCTCTGGCTCATCACCCTCAGCTGAAAGGCAGTTCAAATGGCTTCTATGCCTCAGCAATAAGCAGACGGGGAATATAACTGTGGGTTCCATGAGCACTGCTCTGCTCCCGCAGCATCTGGTGGTACACAGCACTGGGTCTGTGCAGACAGAGATCAGTGCCCCAGCTCTGCGGCCTGGATGCTACTGCAGGACCTCAGCCTATTCATTCCATCTGCACAGGTCAGGACACAGCATTTCTGCACTGCTGGTTGTTAATAACCTTCTGACTTCAGCGGTGAACAAAAACCAACAGCAAAGCACTGGATCTACCTGTTGCCTTAAGAAGCGCAGTGAAATTCACAGGGGTCAGGGGCTCACTCCTAACCTGGATGTCCCATTTTGGGATCTAGACTTTACCTTCCATGCATGTTTGCTCTGATCCAAGAGGCACAGAGCAGCCCTGGCTGAGCTCAGGTCATTATTCATGTGATTCAATGTCAGGCACTCAGAGCCTGAGCTTCATGCCATACGAGTTACTTACAGTGCAAACATCAGCACTGGAGCTGCCTTATGCCGGAGCCTTGTGCTGTGCTTGCCTTATGGAGCCTTGTGCTGTGCTGATTTAATATCATAGGAAATCTTATGTGTCTGAAACTTCGGTCTCAGTGTGCAGTTTGGGGCTGTTCACAACAGAAATGCACAGAACTGCACAAAGGACCTCCGGGCTTGTGCAGCAAAGGGCCCTGGCCCTGTTCTCACATCCCTCTCCCTATATCCTTGTAAAGGAATTCTCCAGGCTCTGTTCAGAGGGGATGTGAGGCACGAGGTCAGGTGTGAGAGCCAGGATATTCAGACAGAAGTGAATGATTTAATTACACAGCTGCTGGCTTATCCCTCAGCACAAGAAGGAATCCAGAAATGGGCCAAAGCAGCTCAGTGTGGATGAGGGGGTGTCCCGAGGCAGTTCCATTTGAGGTAAGGTTTTTCCTGCCTATAACTGAGCTGATGATTTGCTCTCACCCCTGCTCCTCACTAGGGAGCCCAGGATCATTGCCAGGGTGTCAGAGAATCATAGAATGATAGAATGGCCTGGGTTGCAAAGGAGCACAATGCTCATCCAGTTCCAACCCCATGCTATGTGCAGGTCACCAACCAGACCAGGCTGCCCAGAGCCACATCCAGCCTGGCCTTGAATGCCTGCAGGGATGGGACATCCACAGCCTCCTTGGGCAACCTGTTCCAGTGCCTCACCACCCTCTGGCTGAAAAACCTCCCTTGTCCATCTACTCAGCACAGGGATCCATGGCCAAGAGTCCCAGCTCCTGTTCTCCCACCAGAGCCCCTGCCTTGGGCTGGGGGCAAACCAAGCCCCGAGAACACCAGGGTGGGACGTATTGGGGCACACTGCAATGGACTCCTGGAGCAGCCTCAGCCCTTCATGCACTGCTGGGAGCAGCATCCCCACAGCACAACACCCCCTATCAGCTGCCGTGCAGCCCGCTGCCCCCCTATCGCCCCCGGCAGCCCCACGCCCTGCCAGCCCCACTCCAGATAGTTCCTCACCGCCCTGACTGCAGCCCGAGATAAATCCAGCACCAGGCTGCGCCCACCGCGCCGCCGCCTGCTTTTTCCCCTTGGGGTTAGCAGAAGTGGGCTGGGGTCTGGGCACGCCTCCACCCAGCAGCTGCTGTCTTTTCCTGGGGTCACACTGCTGTGCAGCTGTGGTAGCTATGGGAAAACTGAGTTTTCCTCCCACTGTTTTCCTTAGGGAGGAGAGAGGTGATGCAGGGGAGGATTCCAGGGTCGTCTTCATCACTATTGCCCAAAATGCTGACAATGGTGCCAAGTGAACACAGCACAGCCGGGAGGGAGCTGAGCCCCCCATCTGCTCCTCCATCAGTGTGGGGTTCCTAAAGGTGTTCCCAGGGGATTCTGTGCAGGAGGTAAGCATGGGAGGAGGGAAGGGGGAGAACCAGACCCACAGAGAAGGTCCCTTCTGGGACCATTCAGGTGAAATACATGATTGCAGTGCCACAGACTGTGAATTACAGTGCCCTGACAGGAAGGCAGCAGTGCAAAAATGTCTTCAAGCATTATGAGAAGCTGAGTGCTATACCATTATAGTATTATATATGCTATACTATTATACTATTATGTCCTATATGTGACACTGTTTCCTACAAGTGACACTGTGTCCTGTGTGTTCTATACATCGTGTCCTACTCTTGGTGTTGTGTACTGTATGTGACAGTCGTGTTCCACATGTAACACTGCATCTTAGAGGTGCAACTGTGCCTTATAGGTCTTACTGTGTCCTATATATCACACATGTCCTACAAGTGACTCGTGCCCACTCAGCATGGAATTCCTTCTGGGAAGTTCTATGATGCAGGGCCCAAACTCACAGCTGTGGGCTCAGGAGAGCAGAAAGTGACTGCAAGGCCACTGCCCAAGGCTGGACAGTGGATGTTCCCCATCTCCAGGCAAGAAGGGAGCAGGGAAGGACCCCCATCCCCCAAATACCCAGTGGGAACCACAAGAACCGTGTCCCAGGCTGTGCAGCCCCAGGCACTTGCTAATGGAAGGTGCCTGTGAGCAAAGAAGGTTCCTGTGGGGCCAGGGAGGTGCACTGCTGTGCTCAGAGCTGGGCCTTCCTCCTCCTGTTTGTTTGCAGCATGGATGAGGAATGGTGAGCACTGCACTTTCTGTATAAGTTATGTTGCCCCAATGCATTTGAAGCAATG